ATATATATACCTCAGCGAGAACATACCACCCTACATTTGTTAGACAACATATATACTGCATTTCATGAATTTTTTTTTTATGATGAAATGTAAAATTGCCACCAGGTATATTTACTTGTGCTAATGCCTGCTATATTCATTTCATTCAACATTATTCACACAGGAATGCTTAATCATAAATTAAATCCATCCTTTAATTATATAGCAGTGCAATAACATTTTTCCTATAATTAACATTTCTGTATGCTGCCTATTTAAGTCTCAGCAATCGTACCCATCCTCAGGAGATAAAAAGCAAAGGTAATTGGTAGTATATTAACTGCCTGAATTGCTTCTTTCTCAAGTGTAATGAGTGAAATTTACTAAGCACTCAATTTTATATTTTTCTTTTTCTTGTGTCTTGATAATGACAGAGACTACTGTCACAGGATGCTTCAGGGCAGGACTAGATTCAGTTGTTACTGGAAGCAAGCATCAGTCCCTGCCCAGGCCTCATATAGAGTTTATCCAACCAGCAGGTTTTATCTATTTTTTTTCTATTGTAGTGTCATTATTATAGATTAATCTGACTGTCACATATATTTAGATTCACCTAGTGTTTTCTAAGTATAAAACCTTCTTATTCTACATTTAAAAAATTATCACTCTACAGAATTCAATTATTCAAGCTAAAAATTTTCCTATTAGTGGTTTGCCTCAGGCAGACTTTATCAAAGCTTTAGCTAAAACAGGCTTTTTAGAGAAGATTAGTGCAAAGTAGACAACTCTAGCAAATTTGTAATGACTGTCCTCGGAATTTGTTTTAAGGAACCTTGAAGCAAGAACAAGTGAATTCTGAAACATCTTCTTATTTCCTGTCAAAAAATCCATCTTTTAAAGCAGAATCACCATGTTTTCAGATCCTTAGCACATACTTCATCTAGATATTACAAGCATTGTGTTTTGATCATAATTCTCAATACTTCTTATGTGCCAATCTACAGTAAAGGTTTTCTCTAATATCTGTGGGTCAGTCAACAATGGTAATATCCCAATGCCCTTCAGTTAAAAGCAGAAGTACTGGACAGTGTTGTTCTGGCTGCCAGAAGAGGCAGTAAGATTTTGTCTCAGCTCTTACTGATGTATGTCAGTATTTCTTAACACTATTTAGCCCTTCTTACAGAATAAAGCTTCTTTATGTAGCTTAAAAATCATGTCAGGCTGACTCCTACAGAATTCCTTCCACCCTGTTATACATGCAGAGCAACAAGGAGCTGCAAAGTCAAGGAGCTGCTGCCTTCAGTGTGGCAGACAGACCTTTGCCATGTATCCACACTGCTTTTCAAAGAGTGTGTGTTGAATCTATACACTTGGCTAAACACCAAAAAGCAGTGGAGGTTAGCTGTGATCCTTTAGTCTTCAAATTTATGTTAATGTCTTCATTACCTTAGGTGTTTCAGACCTAAAGGTTGATGACCACAACAGGCTTCGGGTGCAGATGGTTTTAAATTCACCTTTTTCAAAGAAATATTGGAAATAGTTTTACTGGTTATCATATTACCACCATTAAGGCTTGTTGCAAAATGTAAATGGAGGGTAAAGTTCAACACAGGCATCTTTCCAGTGTTTTGAATTTTAGTTTATGTGACTTAACACTCAAATTCCTCTCGATCAAATTAGATCTAGTTTTGCTTCCATAAATAGTTATCATAATTCCTATCCCATTGAATTATTTGGTTTCATGCACGGAGTAATTCAATGGTAAAACATGGGACTATTGCATTAAAAATTAATACATCTGGGAAAACACTGTAAGAAAAGAAAAAGAGTAAGGCATTGTTACTTTTTAGTCAAGTCCTACCTATATGCAAGCACATCACTCTTTTGCAAAATCCTTCCTGTTCATATCTGGCTCCATGAACCATGAATTACAAACCCCAAAATGTCTATGGAAGGAATTTTTCCATCAATCCTGCAATCGGTAGCTTCCTTCAGTTTGCTCCTCATGCCCACATGCTCAATGGAGCACTCCCAACCAGAGCTGTGAAGTGGTGCCAGTTGTTGCCTGCCATTCCTGACCTATCAGTCAGAGCCAGTCAAGTCAGGCATCCACTGGGGCTGATTTAGCATGCCTTTGCATACTTGCTTAACATTTTAAGCTCCAATTAGTTACAATTTATGTCCAGTATCACCCTATTAATTCACACTAATACCTGAGATAACCTTTCTGCCCGGCCAAATTTTTCAAATTAGCAAGCAAGATGAAGCAAGAAAGTGCAATAGTTCTGAACAATACGCAAAAGGCATTGGCAAACATCATAAGTTTGAGCAATTAAATTTGTGTTGGCCAGAAATCTGGAGAAGATATACAAAATTTCTCCATGGTGCTAACTTCAGAACAATTCCCTGCTCTGGGAACCTTCTTGAGAACAGTGGAGGCTGTTGACTTTGCCTTACAGATTCACAGGATAATTAATTTGTATTTTATTGGGAAAAGGCCTATTTGCAGCAGCATTTCAGTAATACTCCGTGCAGTGTGAGATTGAGTATTTCATATTTATGTTTCAATTTTCATACTAATGTTAAAATTTGATTTTTATTTTTGTCTAAAATAATTGTTTAAATTGTAAAATGTTTAAAATATCATATTTATGTTTCAGTTTTCTTTATATTCAACAACTCCAACTACCTTCTCTGCCCAAACCCAAAAATATCTAGAAATATTTGAATATTTTAGTTGCAAGTGGATGGTTGGCAATTACAGTGGCACCTCAGTAAACTGTCTTCTAATGATAAGTGAACTGGAGACAAACACCAAGTATATCTTTATATATTCAGAGTAAAATCGGTTCTACTTAATCACAGATCACATCTAATGAGCAGTTTTAATGTCTTCCAAGAAATAAGAGGAACAAAACGTTTCCCTGCAAATGTGTAAATTAATTTTTTTCAATTAGCATTGGAGTATAAAATTAGCATAAAATCTTATCTTTACAAACATCTCCAGTAACACTTGCCTAATTAACTGCATATACAGTTTAATAAATTGTTTAAATGATTTCCTAAATCAAATTTAAGTGAACTCCAGTCTGTATATAGTTTGCTATGACACTGACTGGTCCCATTTTTTTTTTATGAAAATGTCCCAGATCATTCTGTACTTCATCTTTTAGTGACTACTTTTTTAAAAAAATGTTAAGAGCCCAGTTATAGAAAGTCATTGTGAGGAACAAAAAAAGCACATGGAAAGTATGAAGTTTATGACTGGAGTATATGGGTCAAATAGCAAGAAAAGATAGCAAAGATTAAAGATTAAAAATTGCCTAAAACATACGAATGATGATGTGAAAATAATTGTGATGATAAAAATTGTATGCTTATACAGCAAAAGTTTGATTCTTATGCATTAGTAAAATAAATACTTCATTTCTTTATCTGTGGCTTTGAAGAGATGGGGGAAGATGAGTAAGCTGTCAGTTTTAATTAATGTTTTGTCATAAATATTTATAGCCCACAGAAAACAATTGTATGGCTCTGTAGGATTAAGCTAATTATTTATAAATCACATTCTAAATGTATTAACATAATCCTTTTACAGAAGCTTTGACATTTAATAAATTAATATTAAAATGTCTGGGTTACAATAAATGCAACAGCAAAAATTTTTCCAAACTGACTGAGTGAATATGAGAGGTTTCTTTTCACTTGTTCCACTTACTGGGTCTACCCTCAAGGCTATGTCTTTGTAAGCCTTGATATATAATGCTTCTTTTGTTTCAAGTGTCAAAATTAAAACTATAAAGTGTAAATTCTTACTGATAGAAAACCATGACTTTACATGCCTACATCAATTAGGACACAGATACAGTAAAAGTATTCATAGGTCTAATGGGAGTTTCCAAATCTCAGATGTTTAGTCTCTATTTTTTAACCAAAAAAAAACTTAAAACAAAAGACAATCATTTGTAGGTTGCAAGTCCCAAATCTCCTTTATTTATAAAGCAATAAATATTAGAAGCACAAATAAATTGCACGGGTGTGTAAACAAACTGTACAATGACTGAAGAGTTCAGGAAGGGTTGCCAGAAGACTCCAAGAAGCATATTGTCGTCATCCTGAGTGGAAGCAAATTGAGGGGAAAAGTGCTTAGAAGCACTTGCGGTGTACAATGGATGGACCAGCTTCATCATACTCCTGTTTACTGATCCACATTTGCTGGAAGGTGGACAGAGATGCTAGAATGGAGCCACCAATCCAGACAGAGTACTTGCGCTCAGGTGGGGCAATGATCTAGGATAAAATAAAACAAAACAAAATCCTCATTTCTAACAATGAACCCATATCATCCATGTTACAAACCACTAGATATTTCCTTGAGTAAGTAAAAACCTTTTCTATAATAACAGTATTGATCTTCAGCAGCTATTACAATACATGCAATGTTCCTTTGGAAAATCTATAACCGTATTTTCTTCTTTTCTAACACTTGCTTCTAACCAACCTAATTATTCGGATTAAATGGATCTTCTGCTCATTTGTTCATCAGTGGTTGATCCTACTTTTGAGTTGTCCCTATATCTCAATTTAATGATGTTGACATTTGCTCCATCTTGATCCACACTTTACAGTACAGAGTCAGATTCCTTACCTTGATCTTCATAGTGCTAGGAGCAAGAGCGGTGATTTCTTTCTGCATGCGATCAGCAATGCCAGGGTACATCGTCGTACCACCTGAGAGGACGTTGTTAGCATACAAGTCCTTACGGATATCAATATCACACTTCATGATACTGTTGTAGGTAGTTTCATGGATACCAGCAGATTCCATACCTTGAGAAAAAAAGAAGACAGGAAGTCAGTAAATTATACAAGGGGTCTTCATGAAAAGAAATCTTGGCATTTCTCTTCATCTTCATATGAACTTCTATGACCTTTTTTGTTGTAAAATTACTTACTGTTTATTAAATGTTACGGAAAAATATAAAAACACAGAATTACAGAACTTAGAAAATGAAAATTATTTAGTAGAAAAGGTAAGAATCATAATGCACGTGCAAAGGCAAGATCCTCAAAATATACTGTAAGGGAAGAAGTAAACACACAAGATAAATTCATTTAGTATATGGCAATGGAAGAAGGTTATATAAAACAGAAAACATGAGTATCAGGTTATGTCAGAGTCTCACTAAAAGCATTAGTTGAATATATTAAAGGCAGCAATAAAGACAATGAAAACAGTTGAAGCAGAACTAAAGAAGACAATAGTAACTTCATTTCTTTTTCAGTCAACTCAAAATACAGTCTATACTGTTATAAATGTCAAGGCAAGACATAACCATGACATGGAATAAGATATTAGTACTTGATGGTAAGGAAAAAGAAACAAGAAGCAAGTGTTTGTAGGTTGCATTCCAATATATTAATTTTAACAGGTGCTTCCTGAAAGGGCTGACACTGGATCCACAGTAAGATGTCAGCTGATGAACAACTGCATGTATTGCTCAGGACTTAAGAGTATAAACATTTGCTACGTCCATCAGCTGCACGCACAAACAGCAAAGCTTACCATCTTGACCATGGCAATGTTTCATTACAGTGCATATAAATATACACACACCTTCATTCCATTTTCTTCCCCTCTCTGACACTGTACTTCTTCATGGCATCAGATACGGTTTCGAGTGTAAGCCTTAGAAATACAGCACTGAAAGCTATTCTTGCCATCAGTGACACAGAATCATAGGATGTCTTGAGTTGGAAAGGACCCATAAAGATCATGGAGTCCAAGTCCATAATGATGATATTCTAACTGTATGTTTTATCACTCAAAAATTTTGACCTTAAAACCTGATCTAAAACTTGCAACAAGAGCCCAGAGTTCAGCTAAGCAGAGCTTACAGGGACCAAAGAATCTAACTCATTCTTTATTCATGTTTGATATTGTGCCAAATTTAGATAAGCAGGAAGAGGAGCAGGGCACCTTCTAAATTTTCTGATTCATTCATACCTCCTACAGAAAGGAGAATTTCCTGGGAACACTTACCAATAAAGGATGGCTGGAATAAGGTTTCAGGGCAGCGGAAACGTTCATTACCAATTGTGATCACTTGACCATCAGGCAATTCATAGCTCTTTTCCAGAGAGGAGGAAGAGGCAGCAGTGGCCATTTCATTCTCAAAGTCCAGTGCAACATAGCACAATTTCTCTTTGATATCACGAACAATCTCACGTTCAGCTGCAGATATATGGGAATCAAATCAAGCTTTGGACAGACAAAATACTAGAGGAAGATGATGGGCCAAGAAAGACATGAGGATTTTCACAGTAGGGATAAGCTGAAGGACTGACCTGTTGTCACAAAGGAGTAGCCACGTTCTGTGAGGATCTTCATGAGGTAGTCAGTCAGATCCCTGCCAGCCAGATCCAGACGCATGATAGCATGAGGTAAAGCATAACCTTCATAAATAGGTACATTGTGGGTGACGCCATCACCCGAATCAAGAACAATACCTGGGACAGAAATGTCAGAGAGCAGCTGGAATCACCTTCAGGCACAGTAAGCAGCAACAAATACAACAAAATAGAGGATTTTTCAGGGACTATAAAGTAACATCATGCTATTTTAGTCATAAAGAACTTTCCAATTCAAGCATAACCTTCATAAATAGGTACATTGTGGGTGACGCCATCACCCGAATCAAGAACAATACCTGGGACAGAAATGTCAGAGAGCAGCTGGAATCACCTTCAGGCACAGTAAGCAGCAACAAATACAACAAAATAGAGGATTTTTCAGGGACTATAAAGTAACATCATGCTATTTTAGTCATAAAGAACTTTCCAATTCCTTTGCCTTGCCTGGGTTTTTTTTTGTTTGGTGTGAACTTTCCCACAAACAGTTTTTCCACACATATTTTAAGTTGATCCACATGAGCAGTCTTCCACTGCTACTACACTGAGCAGTAAGTATATTTGTAATAGTGACTGTCTTGATCCCATAATGGGCATCTTTTGGCCCCGTTTAAACGCTTAAACTGGTGTAATACTTGTGTAACTGCAGTATCTCAACAGAAGTATCTCCTCGCTTGAGCCACAACAAGCAGTGTCAGAGTCAGTTCCGTGGTGCCTCTCCAAACACAATGCAGATTGATCTAAGTGTCCTTTCCACAGACTGGTTTGTACTGGCTTTTCTGCTACTGTTGTAATTAATTGCTATAAACTAAAAATACCTATTTTTCTGAAAATCTAAATGTGTTCTAGTGGGCTTTCTTCCTATTTGGAGAGGGAAGGAAGGAGAGTTCCTGAAAGCATATATCTAAATAGTGTTTATTTGTTTATTTTACCTGTTGTACGACCCGAGGCATACAGGGACAGGACAGCCTGGATTGCCACATACATAGCAGGTACGTTGAAGGTCTCAAACATTATCTGGGTCATCTTTTCACGATTAGCTTTAGGGTTCAAGGGGGCTTCTGTGAGCAAGGTAGGGTGTTCCTCTGGGGCCACACGGAGTTCATTGTAGAATGTGTGGTGCCAGATCTTTTCCATATCATCCCAGTTGGTGATGATGCCATGTTCAATTGGATATTTCAAAGTAAGAATACCTCTTTTGCTCTGAGCTTCATCACCTACATAGGAATCTTTCTGACCCATACCAACCATAACACCCTAAGAGAAGAAAATACAGAAAAGCATTATTTCAGGAAGAAACATCACAGGGCCCAAACAACTATATCGCAGACAACTGGCATGAAGTTGAGTCACAGAAGGTTTAGGATGCATATTAGGAAAAGGTTCTTCAGCCAGAGGGTGGCTGGGCACTGGAACAGGCTCCCCAGGGAAGTTGTCACAGCACCAAGCCTGACAGAGTTCAAGAAGTGTTTAGACAATGCTCACTGGCACATGGTGTGATTCTTAGGGCTGTCCTGTGCAGGGCCAGGAGTTGGACTTTGATGATCCTTGTGGGTTCCTTCCAACTCAGGATATTCTGTAATTCTGTGATTCTAACTATATTATTTTCAAGAAAAGTACAAGTGGTCACACTGCTAAAAGATTGCTCAGGAAAAGAAATTAACCTATTAAAATATTAAGTCAACAGAATTTGAGGTTTTCTAGTAAAATCTTTTTTTCTGTCCATCAGAGGAAAGGATGTACCCTCCCTTTTTAATACACCTCTTATTTTCAACTCCTTCTTTCGTGGCCCAAAAGTTTGACTGAAAGTAAACTGTGCAACATCATGAGAAGGAAAAGATACAAAGTGAGTTTGTAAGCAACAAGATATAGAGGGAAATTAGCATTCTAGTGAAAGAAGATGCTCCACATTATTATGGAACCTCAGCAGTAATTTATTCATTGTAACAAACTACAAATTGCAAATATTTTAATTTTAAAAAAGGCATTATGAACTTTTTACCAAGAAAATTGTGGGAGATATGGGACAGCAAACAGGGAAGCTGAGTGAAGCACTGGAGAGATGTGTGACTGTGCCACCAGTCCTACCATAAGAGGCAAGCAGATGAAAAGGCAGGGTATTTGCAACAGGACAGGAGAAATAAGGAAGGTAGAAGCAAGTGGAGGCAATGCCTGGAGGGATGGAGAAGGCTCTGTCCTGCCCCAGTCCTGCCTCTGTCTTTACCTGGTGCCTCGGG